AGGACAATGCCCAACCAACTGAGCCATACTGGTCAGGGCCCCTCTGAATTTTAAATTCATATATCTAAATGCTTACTCAAAATTTTCACTTGGAACCCTGGCTGGTATAGCTCATTGAATGGAGCATGGGCCGTGAGGCAAAGTGTTCGATTCTGAGTCAGGGCACATGCCTAGGTTGCAGGCCAGGTTCCTGTTAGGGGCTATGTGAGAGACAACCACACATTGATGTTTCTCTCCCTCTCTTAAAAAAAATTTTTTTTCACTTGGATATCTAATAGGCATCTCAGACTTAACATATTCAAAACTGAATTCTAGCTCCCTGACCCCCCACCCCCAGACCCCTTCCTCTTCCATTCCTCTTTTCAGTGAATAGTTACACCATTTATCCAGGTGCTCACCAAAATTCCTAGCATCGTGATATCCTTCTTGACAGCTCCTTTCTCTCACACCTGATCTGCCAGCAAATCATGTCTTTTATGCCCTCAAAATGATTAGAATCTTATTACTTCTCACCACCCCAACTCTGTTTCCCTAATCCATTGCCATCATCTCTTGCCTAGGTGATTGCAGAGGTTTCCTCATTGGTTTCTTTGATTTCACTCTTACCCACTACAGCCTGTTCTGTTTAAAACGCTCCAATTCCTTCCCATGACAACTTAGCATAAAGTCGAAAGAGAGTTCTTACCATTGCGTACAAGGTGACCTGTTTTATCTGGCCCCTGGTTACCTCTCCAGCCTCATCTTCTACCGCCTCACCCAGATACAGCAGCGTGCCGGCCTCCGTGATGAATCTCAGCCATGACAAGCTCTTTTCTGCCTCAGGAATTCCGCACTTGCTGCTTCCTCTGCCTGAAATACTCTTTCCTGAGATAACCTCATGCATAGAATTAGGAGCACAAACTCTGGAATCAGGCTGCTTAGGTTTGAATTTTCTGGTCGTTTTACCTTGGACAAGGTAGTTAACCTTACTGTGCTTCAGTTTCTGTACCCAAGAATAATCGCTCTAGTTTGTAGAGTAATTATGAGGATGAAATGGGTTGATATATGTAAAGCACTCAGACTAACACTACCTTATAGTAAATTCTCTATATTAGCTGTGATGGTAATTATTACTTCATCGGTTCTCGACTTACATGCCACCCGCTCAGTGATGATTTAAATAGTGGTAGACTCCTCAGAATAAATGATAAATGTGCCTCCTGGGGGGATCTGCTTTGTAGGGGACAGCTCACTGTGATGGACACCACAGTCATGCCCCTCATTTTAGTTTCTGACCTGTAACTACCCCCCTCCCCGCCCCTTTCTCTTTCCCTTTTCAGTCTGTTTTACAGGACTGACTGCTGCTCAGTAGTTCCTCTCCCAACTGCAGCTCGTGCCAATTCAGGTTGGCTCTTTGGAGACAGTTGGAAACCTATGGGGGTAGACTCATGAAAGAGAGGAGTTACTTCACCGCCACGTACATCCTTCCTTTTTCTTTTCCTCAGTGTGGATTTCATGGGCAGCACCCAGAGTTCTCCATTTCTTCCCCTTGCCTTTATCAGAGTGCTGAGGAACAATTTTTTTCTTTGAGTATTGTGTCCATTTACTACCTGTGTGTGTGTGTTGTGTTGTATTGTGTGTTTTAACTTTCCTTTTAGAGAGAAAAGGAACAAAATGTTAAAGGGGCAGAGCACAAGAGATTAACTACCTTTTAAAACTCTCCATCTGTTTTCATTATTCCTATCAGCAAACTTTCTTTCTTTAAAACAAACTTTCTTCAAAACTTTCTGGTGTCCGTCAGCCACAGGAGGATGGGGAAATACTGTGGACTTGGCCTTGTTTTGCAGAGAAACACCCTGGTCAGAAGCAGTCTGTGGTGGAAGTGGATAACGAGGGAGGGAACTCAGGTGGGGCCCTGGAATGAGAAGGCTAGGAGAGGAGAGAAGTGAAATATTTAACAGGGCCTCCCAGGCTGAGAAATCGCTCCAAAGTTCACAAATCTCACCAGTTCCCCTCTACCTGCAATCTCTTGCACACACTGTAGAAATCCTTAACAGTGTCTTGGGGCAGGGGGTGGAGTCCTTAGTCCCAGTGCCAATTGCGTAGAGGGGGTGTGAGGCCTGATCTCATGCTCCCAGCCATGGTGACGAGCTGTATTCCTGGTGTTTTAGCACCATTGCTTATGTACAGTTCTCAGTGTAACTGGTCAGAGCAAATTGACCTGGAATGACATACATTTGCTTTTTTTCTGTGATGAAATCAGAAACAAACACTCTCTGAAGTAATTGGAACTATTAATGGTTATATTAGAAATATTACTGGTAAATTGGAACTATTACTGATATTACTGGAAATATTAACTGGTAATTGGAACTATTACTGGTATATTGGAAGTAATTGGAACTATACTGGTAACTATTCCTAGGGAGACCCTGAACACAGCCAGGAGTGTTCACCTTCATCGGGGCAGAACAGGCTTTAGAGAAGAGCAAGGCAGAATTGTTAGACCAGTTAGTGGATTAGTTTCCCTACTGTGTCTCATTTTTGTGAGAGTGATCTTTAGCATCACTTGTAAAGTTCATGCTTCCTTTTCCAGATAGGGACATTTCGGAGTCAGGTTCTAATACTACTCCACTCTGCTGCTGCTCTACTCTAGTGAGCAGTTGTTATTCGTGCAAACTAGAAAGTGGGAATACTGTACTGTATATGTAGTGAGTGTTGTCTGCTTCTTGAATTCTTTCGTGCTAGTGCTAATTGTAACGATTGTTTGCCTCTAAAGTGTGCAGTGTCCTGGAGGTGCGTGCCGACTTGTGCGCCCACGGGGGCAGCCCTACCCAGGCACATGACACACTGCACGTGTAGGGGCTGTTCAGAGTCTGCTTCGGGCCTCTGTCCCTGATGATGGACATCAGTTCACAGTCCCAGCTGTCCCTGAAGATCCAAATAATTTACTTGGTGATTTCAAGGTGTTTTTAGTCATTTATAATGAACCAGTTTCTTTATTCCATCAGTTCAAGAGTTCTATAGGCAACTTGCCTTGGCCATTGAGACCCTGCATTATGGTTATTTGACTCTTTAAAGGAGACTCTGACATCTCTATTTTAAAAAATTTTTTAGCTCTGGCTGGTGTAGCTCAGTGGATTGAGCACGGGCCTGGGAACCAGAGGATCATGGTTTGATTCCCAGTCAGGGCACATGCCTGGGTTGTAGGCCAGTTCCCAGCAGGGGACCCACGAGAGACAACCATACACTGATGTTTCTCTTCCTCTCTCCTTCCCCTCCCCTCTAAACATAAATCAATGAATCTAAAAAAATTTTTTTTTGTATTTTTAAATGTACTTTTAGAGAGAGGGGAAAAGAGTGAGGATGAGAGGGAGAGAAATATGCGAGAGATACATCCATCAGTTGCCTCTCACACACCCCCAGCTGAGACTGTGGCTGCAACCCAGGCACGTACCCTGACTGGGACTGCAGTCAACAAGCCTTCGATGTTCAGGCTGGTGCTCAATCCACTGAGCCACACTAGCCAGGGCTGACATCTCTTTAAAGATGTCTAAAAGTTGTAGATATTTAGGAAACCCATAAAAGACATCCAGAAGTTTTAACACTAATCAATGCTGCTGAGCTACAGAGCTCTGGTGTGAATTTTTTAATAGCCTGGTCTTCACTGTAGTAAACTTTCCTCCAAAAGTTGACACTTCTAGTTGACAGTGTTTAAGTGGATAGCCCTGGATGGTGTGTCTCAGTGGGTTGAACAACAGCCTGCGAACAACAAGGTCACTGGTTCAATTCCCAGTCAGGACACATGCCTGGGTTATAAACCAGGCTCCCAGTTGGGGACAGGCAAGAGACAACCAACTTTTCTCCCACTTTTTTTTCCCTCTCTTCCCCTCTCTCTAAAAATAAATAAATAACAACTTTTAAAACTTAATAATGCTTGAGGATAGTTGATTAAGTAGAGTCTTGATGTAGAACAGACTTCAGCTTACGCTTGCACAGTAATTTACAAAAGATAGACTATTTTTAATATTGGAATGTAATTTTTAGAGCAGTCTTAGATTAATGGACACACGGAAAAGGTAATACAGTGTTCCGTATCACCCAGCGCCATCCACACCCGTAGTTTTCCTCATCATTAACATCATCCAGCAGTCTGATACGTATTACAATTAATGGATGATTTTTGATACATTTTTGTTAACTAAAGTCTATACCCTATTCCCATGTCCTTTGTGTTTATTTGATGTCCTTTCTCTGCTTATTTTATGTTCTTTGCTGATTGGAGGATCCGATCCAATATACCACTCACATGCCATCAGTTGTCATGTCTCCTTAAGCTCCTCTTGGCTGTGACAGTTTCCCAAACTTCCCTTGTTGTTGATGACCATGACAATTTCGACAAGTATTCATGAGGTGCACTGTAGATTCCTCCTCTTGGAATCTGTCTGATGTTTTTCTCCAGATTGTACTGGGGCTGTAAAAACCATATGATGAGACTATGTTTAGCCTTGTAAGAAATTGCCAAACTGTCTTCCAAAGTGGTTATACCATTTTGCATTTCCACCAGCAATTGATGAGAGTTCTGTCACTTGCATACTGGCCAGGGAGTCAGTTTTTCTGGACTTCAGCCATTCTGATAGGTGGGGATATAATTGTTTAATTTAATCTTACTATCATTGTGTTATATCTGACTATAGAAACTTTAGCTTCCTCCTGATATTTCTCTTCAAATTAGCATTAAGAATGTGTGTGCTTTGCCCCCATTAAATAGCAGTTGCAATGTTTAAATAACATTTCACTTATTACTATAAAATACAATAACACATTCTCTTTGCTTTCTTATTGATAATAGCTTATAAGCTGCCTGCTATTGGTGTTACATTCCAGTGATGGTAATGTCTCATGTTTAATTGCTTTTGTTTAACTTTTTATTCTCATTTTCCATTCTTCAAAGTCAATTTTTTGCTTTTTTGTTTGTTTATTTGTTCATAAAGCTCTTTTGTTTTTGTTACATTATGTAGTTTTGTACCAATGGCTAGAAGCAGATCGTCATGGCAGGAGCCAAGGTGCTGCAGATACGACCTCAGGTAACAATAAAAAGTGGAGGTGTTAGAAATCAGTATTCTGATTCACCCAAGCCCATCACAATTGGTTCTTTATTCAGTTTTGCTCAAGCAAAACATAGGTATTGTTTTGTATTTCTGTTTTCTCATGTGCATTTTAATTTTCCTAAAGACAGCATTTGCTTCGGGCCTTGAAAAAATTATTCATGAGCCTTTCTTTAAGCTCTCTTGGCAGATATGTCCTATTTTCTTATAAGGCAGGACTTCACTGCAGCTTAGATTTAGTGGGAGGTTACTTGACAGCATTACTTGAAATTAACTCTTGTGTAGTTATAGTGGGGGATATTAATATTTGCACAGATTTATAATCCTTGTTCTTTTCAGGATAATGCTTGAAAGGTGGATTTTAAGTTAAGGATGTTTATATGTAATTTCCAATTCCTGGGAATCGAGATTCTTAAACCGATTTATTTCTCCGGCTAAGTCCTAGTCTAAGTTAGAGGTTGGTGGAACATGGGCTCAAAATGAGAAGATAAGGTGGTTTGCCCATCTCGCAGCTCCAAAAGGCATGTCCAAGATTTTCTTCTCTGGCATGTACCAATAGGAATAGCTGCATCCACTCATTTTTAAATCCCTAACAATGTTACCAGAATCTCTACATGGTTGTTTCTTCCCCTCATTTCCTTCAAAATAATATTTGCCAAGACAGCTGTGTATATAGCAATGATCTTTCCTGTTGCGCCCCGCCCTCCGCCCCTTCTTAGCAGTCTAATAAGTGGTGGTGGTTCTGGTTTTCTTTTGTTAGATTTGTGTTTCTGTGTCATGGGCTTTTTCGGGTCTTGTTTTTGTGAAATTTTTTTCTCTCTGGAGGTGGTTTTCTTTCTCTCTCTTCTGGTGACTAATTGGGCCTCAAGAGGGTGTGGTGTTCCTTAGTTAAGAGAACAATTATATTGAAAATGGCACTGTCATGAATTTTCTGATTTATCTCCTGTCCCATTAATAACTTGATATATGAATGAAGATACTATTACTATTTTAACCGAACTCAGGCAGGAATTCATTAAAAGGTAAGTGTTTCCAGGAGTTAAATCCTGTGTATGTGCTGTTTCTTCTGCCCCACAGTGTTTCCTATTTTATTTACATTTCTGGATAATAAACATAAGCATTTTGGGTGTATGGGGATGGGCAAAGGGGTTTCTTGACGGCTGTGTGTTTTCTGAGGATATCCTGTTGCTGTGTCCAAAGAGCAGTCAGCAGATGGACCTTTAGAACCAGGAAGGAGCTTCTTTTAATTTTTTTTCTGTGACTTGAAGTGAAGTAGAAAGTAAACATTTTCTTTTTAATGAAGAAGTGACCAATCTAAAAATCTTAGTGTTTGCACAAGAATCCACTATTAGCTTAAAGATGTCATTCACCCTTCTTGAAATGAACCGTTCTGAACCCTAACTCTTTTCTTCAGACACATTAATTCACGCTTAGCTTCACATTTTTCCATTGACTTTTTGATGTTTACATACCCTGGAAGCATTGTGCAAAAACTGATGAACATTCTCTGGGGGTACCTTTGGCATTTTTCTTCTAGAAGCGAAAGCTCTTTATCTCTCAGGAGATGGGAGTATGGGGTAGAAAGATACAGAGATGAAATGCTTGCCTAAATAAGTAAGAGGGGCCCAGAGGAAAGTGATCATTAGCCAAGGGCTTAAATGAGAAACAGTAGGTCACTTGCAGCAAATCTATTTAAATAATGTGCCTTTACTCAAAAAAGTTCTGTGTATTTTATATTTCAGTCTCCAGCAAGACTTTAGAGTGTGATTTTTCCCCTTCTTCTACAATCTGTTAAGTTTTGCACTTAAAAGATGTTTTAATATTCATCTTTTTGTATTTTTACCAAAAAATGGAAACTGAGTCTGACTATATGTCCAAATGTGACTCATAAATTGCTTTAAGATATTTTTACTTGTACAAATAAATACTGGTAAATGGCAGTTTTATCGTTTGATATAACAGGTCATGTTTGCCACTTAAAAAGTAAGCCTAAAAAATACAAAAAACACAGTAGCCAGAATAATGTTGCTCCAAGGTCTTCTAATTCTTCAATCTCAACTTTTTGGCATTGAGGATTTAAGATCCATCCACATGAAAATATTTTATGAACCTAAAGCTTTTCTGGTAACAGGTCTCATGAGAGTTAATTTGGTCAAGGAGATAAAATGCTGAGCTGACAGCTATTATTAAATTTTCTTATATATAATAAAGTGTAGCCTACTCTTCTTTCCACATTTTGACAGGTTATGAATTTGGCTTGGAATAGATTGTTTCTTTTCAGAGTTTTGTGTGTTTAATGTGTTTTGTCTACTAAACTAGACAAAACTAGACTCAGTAATGATGTTTCCAATTCTGTTCATTGTGTTACTGGTAAAAGCTTGGAGGTGCTGTCACACTTATCACAGAAGTCTGGGAAAATTTAAGCCCATTGTCTCCTTTGAGCGTTGTACCATATACAAAATTTTGGGATCATAAGAGGTATGATTAGATTAATTCAGGATGTTTCTTTAATGAAATAAATGTTCCCAAGTAGATATTTTTATCACCACATATCAGAGTGAGGACAATAAAATCAGGTTACAGGCAAGGATTATCTTATCATATCTGATTTTTAGTATCAGTTGTCTAGCCAGGTGAAGTTCAGATTCTGCATTCTTAAATGCAGACCTCTTATTAAACAGTTCTTTTTCTGTTGTTCATTGAAAATTTTACAGTGCGGACTGTTGGAGGTAGAAGTTGAATTAGATTTCAACATTATCAACTAATGTAGCTACAAAATAAAAATAAAACTATGACGTGCTTTTGAAAAAATTCTAGATATTAACTAATTGTTAATTATTTGTTATAGGTGAAAATTTTGACCAGAGTCCTTTGAGAAGAACATTCAAATCCAAGGTTCTGGCCCACTATCCTCAGAATATAGAATGGAACCCTTTTGATCAGGATGCGGTGAACATGGTATGTGTTTTTCTTTTCCTCCTTAGTCTTCTTTTTATTTTATTAAGATGATAATAGTGACTATTTTGAGTTTCCTACATTATTTCATTTAATTTAATCCTTTATAGTTTTAATGTGAGAATATCCTCATTTACACATATAAAAGCTGAAACTCAGAGAGTTTTAGTAACTTGCCTGTAGCCCCCATGGCAACTAAGCATGTACAGCAGACCCTCTAAGCTCGTTTCCTTTCCTGCTATTAACCCGTGTTGTGAGTTTGCATTAATTAATACATACATGGCTTTGACGAACAGTGATATCACTTTGTTTTCCTGGAAAGAATCCTGATGGAAGGAGTATGATTACAGTTTTCAAATTTCAAGGAATGTTGTATCATGGGCCTGTAATTTATCATAGTCACAAGTAGGAAGAGGAAGTCAAGTGCAGCATTTAGACAGTAGGAGTTTGTTTATAAGAAATTTGAATTAATGTAATGAATTACCAGTGGCGGTTGTAAGTCCTTTAGACATTCTTGGGCATAAATAGGTCATGTTTAGAAGCCTGGATAATATTTTGGACCTAATGAACTCTATGATCATCAAAATAAGGGGCCCCAAAGTGAGCAAATTGGAGATCAGGAATGATCAGTATAGAAATGATTAAAGTTGGACTAAGACACTGATCAGTATAGATGCCTGCTAGATACCTCGTGTATGTTCCATTCACATACATGCTCACATGTACCCAATGAAGACTCTTAACTCATTTTATAGAGGTTAAGTTGCTTGCCCAAAGTTGGACAGGGAGTCTCAGAGGTTAAATTCAGACCATTTTCTCCTCTAGCTCACTTTTTGGCCTACCAGCATGCTGTCTCCCCCAAAGAAAAGTTTTGACTTGCACCAAAATGATGTGGATGACATTGTACCTTTTTGGCATTTCTTTTTTAAAAAATACATTTAATTGATTATGCTATTATAGTTGTCCCAATTTTTCCCCTTTTGCCCCCCCTCCACCCAGTACCCCCTCTTCCCTCCAGCACTCTCCTCCATTAGTTCATGTCTGTGGATCATGCATGTAAACTCTTTGGGGGGGGGGTTCATTTCCGTTGCTGCTCTTCATATCCCCCTGTCTATTCTGTACCTACCCATTTGTACTTGTAATCCCCTGTACCTTTCTCCCTATTCTCCCCTTCCCCCTCCCAACTGATAACCCTACAAATGATCTCCATATCTGTGGTTCTGTTTCTGTTCTGCTTATTTGCTTAGTTTGTTTTTCAGATTCAATTTTTTATCATTGTGAATTTATTCCCATTTTAATGTTCATAGTTTTGATCTTTTTCTTAAGTAAGTCCCTTTACCATTTCATATAATAATGGCTTGGTGATGATGAACTCCTTTAGCCTTACCATATCTGGGAAGCACTTTACCTACCCTTCTATTCCAAATGATAGCTTTGCTGGATAGCGTAATCTAGGTTGCAGGTGCTTGCTTTTCATCTCTTTGAATATTTTTTGCCAGTCCCTTGTAGCCTGCAAAGTTTCTTTTGAGAAATCAGCTCACAGCCTTATGGGAACTCCTTTGTAAGTAACTCTCTGCTTTTCTCTTACTGCTTTTAAGATTCTCTCTTTATCTTAACCTATGGCACTTTCATTATGATGTGTCTTGGAGTGGTCCTCTTTGTGTTTGTCTGGGTTGGGACTCTGTGCTTCCTGGACTTGCATGTCTATTTTCTTCATCAAATTAGGGCTGTTTTCATTCATTATTTTTTCACATACATTTCCAATTTCTTGGTCTTTCTCTTCTTCCAGCACCCCTTATGATTAGAATGTTGGTACATTTGAAGTTGGCCCAGAGGCTGCTTTGCCTATCTTCTTTTTTTGTGAGTTGGGGGGGGGGTTCTTTTTTCTTCTTGCTGTTCTGATTGAATGTTGTTTTCTTCCCTGTGTCCCAAATCATTGATTTGATTCTTGGCTTCATTCACTCTACTGTTGATTCCCTGTGAATTTCTCTTTATTTCACTCAGTGTAACCTTCATTTCTGTCTGGGTCTTTTTATGCCATTGAATTACCCAGTGAGTTCTTGGAGCATCCTAATAACCAGTGTTTTGAACTCTGTATTTGATAGATTGCTTATCTCTGTTTTGTTTCATTCCTTTTCTGGAATTTTATTCTGTTCTTCTATTTGGGCCATATTTCTTTGTCTCCTCATTCTGGCAGCCTCCGTGTGTTTGTTTCTATGTGTTAGGTAGAGCTGCCTCGACTCCCTGTCTTGGTAGTGTGGCCTGTTGTAGGAAAGCGCACCCCTTAGTGGGATGGGGCAGAGCCTCAGACAGTTCCTTGGGCAGGTCATCCCGTGTCAACCAGGGTAATGGAGTCTCAGATATGGCGTCACTACTCTGTGGCTCTGTGTAGGAGAGGGCTCAGAAAAGGGACGGTGGCCACTGGAGTGTTGTCTGGGAGGAAGCTGTCCCCCAGCACTTGCCTTGGTGCCAGACACTTCAGTTTTTCCCCATGTGTCAGTGGTGCCCTTCCAGCTGCTGCCCTGGTGCTGGAGCCCAGAAGGAATTAGTCTGCAGAAGTCTTAAGTCCATTGTGGGTCTTTTAAGAGGAGACACCTGAGAATCCTGCATTTTCTTCTGCTGCCCCAACTGCCACTGGATTTTACAGCCAGAAATTATGGGGACTTACCTTCCTGGAGCTGGAACCCTGGGCTGGATCCCTTGCTCCTGAGGTGCCTCTTGCGGTTTTTATACACCACCCATGGGTGAGGGAGCACCCATTATGTCTCCGTGTCTCTGACCTTCCTGCCCATCGTGATGAATGTGAGTACTTTAATTCCTTGGTTGTCGGACTTAAGATCAGTTCCTAATGATTGTGGGTGATAGCCGTTTTGTAGTTTAGCTGTAATTATTACTGTGGTTGTGTGAGCAGGTGAGCCGAGTTTACCTATGCTTCGTCTTGACCCAGTGGTATTTCTATACCACAGTAAACCTGTGCACCAGTGAGGAATTAGCATGCTGACTTTTCTAAGGGGAGATGCCTGAGCCACTCGGCACCTTGGCTTTGATCTGTTGTAGAGCACAGCATAGTTGCGTCTCTAAACTGCCTCCCAGCACCAGAGTAATCAGAGATGCCATTTTGCTGTGTGGAGTCCTGCCTCACTTTCGAAGACAAAACTACAGGTAGTAAGTAGAACACAACTGTTACTTATATTCATAAGACTTGGAGAAACACAGACAAGTTTCTGACTAAAATTGTCAACACACAGCAGTGACAAAAAATAATTTATCTTCTGCTTAACACAGCAAATTAAAGGAAAATTATTAAAGAAAATAGTGTCAAAATGAAGCAGTGGGGAAATGGATGAGAATGTAAGTAGATTTTAACCCTTAATCCTCTTAAATTAGTAAGATATTTCAAATTATAAGTCAAATCATTCTGCGAGAAATCAGAATGGTGTCCAAAATGAGGATCTGAACAATAATGTGAACCCACTGACATTTGGAACCAAATACCACACTTCATGTGTTTTCTTTCTTTAATCATTTGAATGGGTTTAGAAAGTGTGATATTTGTGATAGCTTTTGCCTCCACTGCAGAACATTCCTTTTTAAAGTTAGTTTCCATTTTCTTGCTCTGTGTTTGATATTTTCTTTACTCCTTACCTCACATAGGCATGTGTTTTGATGGGTAAGCATGGCACAGCATTTCGTTTATTGCTGCAGATTGAGAAGGATTTTTTAGCACTCCTTAAAAATCTCAGAAAAGAAAGCATCCCATCAAATTAGTCTGCATTTGGGTCATAGATTTACTGCCCGTAATTTCCCCCTTGACTTATTGTAAGTGCATTTGTATGAAGCTGTAATTTATTCCCACCTAAAGCTATAAAGCTTTGTTCTTGTCGTTAGCAAAACCCCACTCCAACGAGTCGCCACCTTCTATAATATCAGTCATTCCTCTAGAAAGCAACAGTGGTGCTTTGAAATAAGAGTCATTAATTTCACACAGAAAAAGTGCCCCAAAGCAGTGAACTTTATGAAGTAAAAAAATTCCATGTGTATGAGTGCAGTGCAAACATAATAGAAAATAGATAAAAGTAACAGGTGAAATTATTTCTGAATTAATTGCTTTTTATATCTCTTGGTTACTGATTCAGAGTTTTTTATGGGGAAATGGCAGTATTATAAAACAGAGCAATACAACAAACAATCTTATGGCCACCTAGAACTAACATGTCAACATCAACAAATTGCTTCAGATCCATACCTTCTCTCTTAAATGAAACAAAATATTGCAAATAGAGCTGAAGCTTCCTTGCCTTTGCCTCCATTTCAGATCTCTTTGAGAATGTACCTTGGCATCCATGGCTGTTTATGTAATATTCTGGTAGATAATCTTATCCTTAGGAATGTCGTAAACCTGGGAGTTGTCAGGAAGAAAATATGGTCAATACCTTTCAAGCAAGGTTTGTTTTATATGTCTGTCTTAAATGAAATATCTGATACGTGGTATTTCTGGGAATTAAAAGAGCAATAACTATTATACAGCTCTTTACAATCTATAAATCTGTAAGTTTACAATTTACTTTTTACTTTGATCATGAAGACGGGTGGAATGGAACGATGAGCAAAGAGTAAAGGGTAAAGTATTGGCTGAAGAAAGGCTATTCAGAGGCCCATCTTGCAAGATTAAAAGGAAAAGGGTGCTATATATATACTTCAGACTTGGCAGGAATTTGAAATGGATAATCCTTAGTCACATTAATAGGCTCGGCATCAGAATGAGAGTAAGCAGTGATTTTTGACCCAAGTTTATGTCTCACAGTAAACTCATAGGAATGGGATTCCAGTCCAGTTATTATTGGGGGAGCCCACTTGTTTTCTGAACATTACAGCTAGAGTATCACACCGGCATCTCAAACTCAGCGTGTCCAGACTGAGTTCACAATCTTCCTACCAACCGTGGTTAGTACAACCATCTCTCTAGTTGCCTGGGTCAAAACTGTAGTGTCATCCATGAAAGTTCTCACTTTCTCACACACACACACCACACACTCGATCAGTTATCTGTCTACTTCTCTCTCTTTCTCCACACACACCATAGTCTAGACTACCATGCTCTCTCACTGGGGCTTGTACAGAAACTGTCTGGCTGGCCTCCTGCTCCCGTCCTTTCCACTCCTCACACTGTAGCTTCTGTCTGTGCTGTCGCTTCTCTTGAAAGGCTCGTCTTCACATAGTGAATTCTTACTGATCCTTCAGATTTCATTTTAAACACGATTTCCTCAAAAAAGCCACCACCTTCCACTACCCTTTCAACATTCAGTCAGGCTCCTTTAGGTTCTCTTAGCATCTGGTACCTTCTGTAGCATTTATCACAGTTGTAGTTAGTTAATTATGTAGTTATTTGTCCACTCTGTGTCTCCTACTATAATGTAGATACCACCAGGCAGGAACTCACGACTGTATCCCTGGCTTTGCATATAGTAGAGGTTCAGGTCATTGAAGAAGTGAAGGATTGTTTACCTGTTTGCAAGACTTCAGTACTTTCCTTCCCCATCCTTGTCCAGCCAGGTGTTCCCTGCACTGCAAACCCGTCTCTTCAGCAGGAGATAGGTGCTCTCTCTCCCCTGTTTCTGTAATGTCTTAAACAGCCCGTAGCAGCATCGATCACATCATTTTGTCCCTATTGGTTTTTACAGGGGGGAGCAAAAGTAGGTTTACAGTTGTGAGTACGTGAAACGGGGTTTATTCTTGTATTAGTATTTATTGGTCACTGTATTATTTTCCATACAAACAACTGTAAACTTCTTTTGTCCCACCCTGTATGTCTGTCTTTCCTATTAGACTGTGAGCTCTCTGAAGTAAGGATTATTTTCATATTTGTCTTTGAGTTACCAAGATCTAATGCAACAATAGGTGGTCTAAACCAAATATTTATTAGGGAAGAAAGGAGGGAAGAGGAGGAAGGAAGGCACACTGATTAACTCTCTGAGAGTTTTCCGAGTAATTTCTCTTTCATTTGTGTGATGAGAGGAGAGCATAGGAGTCATAGAATACTAGGAAAATGGAAAAAGGAATTATTAAAACTTTTAGCCAGGCTTCCTGTTGGAGTCCAGAGAGACAGTTAGGGACATTTGGCCCCTCAGACCAGAACATGTACACAGCATTGTGAGCCGTTTGTCTGACATCACCTGATTGCCAGCGGCGACCTGGTCCACATTAGTAAGTCCTGAGTTTTTAGTTGTTTTGTTGTGAGAGGGTAGCATGGGGAGGCAGGGGTGGGTGTTGTTGGTGAATGGCAATAGTAGGGGTGACAAGAGATTGTTAAATGCTGTAGATTTTCTGAAAAGTAAACCTGGCGATTAATTGAACAATTCTTACTTCTGAAAATGAAAAAGCAATTTTCCAGGCCATGGTTCACAGATTAGAAATACAACTTTTACTTTTTTTAACTTGTAGGAAGAGAATTTAAGAATTCTTATTTCTGTTGTCTGTAGTCTAAAAAGTCATTCTTTACTTCGAATACAACTTTTGGCAAGGTTTCCCTGTAAATGTTTGAGTGCATGCTCAAGAAAGCTACAAACCCTTAAGGGAATATTTGGCAGCTGTTCAAAAACAGTTCAAGCTGTTATCTTGTGGTCTGTGGTGTCAGGAAAGCCTGTCAATTAAATTTAATCTTTATGTTGACTTTGGAGTCATTGTTCCTTTATTTGCCCACTGATGTAAAAAGAGAACTACAGACTGAATCAAGAGATGAATTTAGTCTGATCCTGTAACCCCCAGCTTTTGTTTTGGTTTGTTTTCTTGTTCATTTGTTCATTCATTCATTCATTCATTCAACAAATAGTATGTGTCGTGCACCATGCTCAACAAGTCTGAGTTTAGTGTGGAGCAAGAGTGATTTCAGCTTGTAGGGAGATGAAAGGCCGTTGGAGGGTTTTGAGAAGAGTGACAAGATCTAACATATTTTTTAAGGATCCCTTTAGCTACATAGGAGGAATAGATTGGGGGAACAAAGGCAAAAGCAGGGTATTGGTGATCAGGCAAGACAGGAGTGTGACTTAGACTAGAGAGGTAAGAATGAAGGTAGAATGAAGTTATTTGTTTCTGATGTATCTTTGAAGGTAGAACTGATGGTCTTTGTTGATGGGTTGGATAATGGGATGAGGGAGAAAAAGAGAAGTCAAAGAGGACCCCAAGGCCCTGAGGCATTTGTGATGCCTCCTCGGGACCCCTTTGAAGACCACTGCCCTTCCGTGCAGGAGGTTGATAAGCTGAAAAGCACGCCTGATTCTGTCCCTCTTCTGCCAAAAACCCTCCCGAGGCTTCTCACTGTCCTCCTTAGACTTCTGACAAGACTCACCAAGACTCTTCATGACCATGCCCCTAACTATTTCTCCTGCATCCTCTCTCACCTCCCTCCACCTCACGCCCCGTTCCTCACCTGCGATGAGTTGCACGTCCCCCTGCCCTCGAGTTCTGTCTCCTGGGCTTCCGCACATGTTGTCCTCTCTGCCTCTCCTCGCCCGAGACCTACACTTACATTACACCCAGGTTGCTGCGTGGGTTTTCTTCATTTTTTTCCTGGCAGCTCGCCTTTTCTCATTTATGTTTTAACTCTATGTTTTTCTTGTAACAGCCTGTATTTACCCTATTATAGTGTTTCCGGTACTTTATAGTTTATGGTTTTCTAATCATCTGTCATTCTTGTTGGACTGGAAACTCCAAAGGATCGAGGACCATGTCTCTCTGTCTCAGCTTGTGTCACCATCAAGGGCCTCGCTCATAAAAGCAATTAGTTAGTGTTTTTTGACAGTTTGATGAAAATGTGTGTAACTTTTAAGGTAAATTGTAAAGTGTTTTCTTGGTAATGTGGGGATGGATTTGGGAGAACCTCTTGGTTTTCCAGATGAATGATCAAGTAATAATGTATGGTAAAATTATTTCTCTGCAGAAAGCATACTATAATATAAAAATAATGATCATGTTAGGGTAGTTGAATTGTAAATTTTGTTTTCTTTAGTATATTTAAAATTTTCTGGAATTTGTTTTATTTCTTTTAAACTATTTTTAGAAGAGTCTCAAAGAATCAATTCTAATTTCTTATACATTTTAAGTGTCTTAAATATAACATCTTTAACTCCTCAAGTAATTTTATTCCCAAATTTGACTGAATCCTGGGCAGTTCCCAAGATCTCGTGGGGGCGTCCAACCTGCCGTCCTGTGGGCCACATGCAGCCCAGGATGGCAATGAATGTGGCCCAACACAAAATCATAAAGTTACTTAAAACACTGAGTTTTTTTTGTAATTACTTGTCACAGTGTATTTAATGCAAGATTACTCTTCTTTCCATGTAGCCCAGAGATGCGAAAAGGCTGAGCACCCCTGAATCTGCTGAAAACAATCTAAAATGTCTGGTTTCTACCCTTCTGCTTCAGTAAATCAAAAATCATTCCACCTTCAGTTTATTTTTCGAGGATGAAGAAGTATCATACTGCTCAAAATAGAGAAAATAACTTATTATTTTTTTTCTTTCTATTTATCAGATGAGACTTTACTATTTCCCTATTCTTTTGAAACATCATAACTCCAAAAATAGTACTTAAATATTTCTCAGGCGCCCTTGCATATGTTGCTGTCAAGTCACTGATGTAGCAGATGTTGGCGATAAAGAAACTGTGGCTCAGAGGAGTTAGGTGACTTGCTGAAGGTCCCCAAGCTTGGATAGAGGTTCACAGGCATTTCTTCTGGTTTGAAGTTATTCATGGCGGACTGCATTCTGATGCTTTTTCCCCCTTCCTCCACAGTTGTGCATGCCGAAAGGGCTGTCCTTCAGAACACAGACTGACAATAGAGACCCTCAGTTCCACTCATTTATAATTACTCGGGAAGATGGGTCTCGTACCTACGGTTTTGTTCTCACTTTTTATGAAGAAGTTACCAGTAAGCAGATCTGCACGGCCATGCAGACGCTCTACCAGATGCACAATGCGGAGCACTACAGCAGCGTCTGTGCTTCCTCCTCCTGCAGCATGGACTCGCTGGCGAGCAGCATCGATGAGGGGGATACTACTTCCCTTTTGAAACTCCAGCGATACAACTCCTATGACATCAGCAGGGACACCCTGTATGTTTCCAAAAGTATATGTTTGATCACACCACTGCCCTTCATGCAGGCCTGCAAGAAATTCCTTATCCAGCTTTACAAGGCAGTTACCTCCCAGCAGCCACCACCCTTGCCACTGGAGAGCTACATCCATAATATTCTCTATGAAGTGCCCCTTCCACCTCCAGGGAGATCGCTGAAATTTTACGGTGTTTATGAACCCATCATCTGCCAGAGGCCTGGGCCCAGCGAACTCCCCCTCTCCGATTACCCTCTTCGAGAGGCCTTCGAGCTCCTGGGCTTGGAGAACCTGGTGCAGGTGTTCACCTGTGTTCTTTTAGAGATGCAGATCCTTCTCTACTCACAAGGTAGGTCTGCCCTAGGTTTTAAGTCTCCTAGAAACGCGTACTTAAGCTCTACTGCTCTGTCTCCATGGAGTATATTATTAGAACAAAATTACTCATGGTCAGAAGTCTTTTCTGGTTTGGGTAAAAGGAACAGGTGTAGGTGGGACCAGAGGCTGAAATGTTCCATCTCCTTATGGTGGCGGCGACGGCAGAGAAAAACAGGAAAGAATACAGAAGCAGTAACTTGGCTTACTCGAGTCTATTTATTTTTTAATGGGAAAATCCCCCTTTTTTCCGACAATAGGTAATTATCCTAAAAGAAATGTTTCTTTTCATAATGAGAGTAAAGAGAATTCTGTTACTACCGGGAACATGTGGACCTCTCTTTTTTAACAGATCGCAAAGGTTCACATCGAAACTCAGCTGATATTGAAAGGGAGAAACAAAATTGTTAGAACCCTGCAGCTTCCTAAGGCAGCAATTTTCAACCTTTTTCACCTCTTGGCACACACAAACTAATTCCTAAAATTCTGCAGCATACCAAAAGATACGTATTTTTTACTGATCTGACAAAACAAATAGGTATAATTTTGATTATTCACATCACATGGCTGTTTTTGTGTTGGCTGCCGTCATCTTTTTATTTGACAGTCTAAGGGAAGAGGTCAGTGCCCTGACCAAATAGTCAGGTGCTGCACGTTTCACAGAGTCATGTGGAGCATCATGGAAGATCGAGGGCTGTCCTAGGGCTCTCGACTCTGAATCAGCCTGTGGGTGAGAGGAGGGATGTAGCCGCGGCACAAATACAATAGTCTGACAGTTCCACCAGGTTTATGTGGGTTTTTTCCCTTTTGTTTGTAACCCCAGAAGGAAGTTATCTTGATGTCATTTTTCATTCAGAGTTCTCCCAGCACTTACTTAAGAAATTAACAAAATTTGGGTTTTATTTTACCAGTACGAATATGACTCTGCAGAGGAAATAAATGTTGTCTCTTAATGGATAAGGAGTTGAAGGAAAGTATAAAATGGTACCTGTGCGTTGATGAGTCCTCCGAGAAACGCGGCACAAATATTTGGGTTAGCATTTTGCTAACTTAATTCAGGCTGACAGAATCGTAGTGTGATCTCCTGACTGATGCTCTTGGGCTTATTTTACCACTTTTCGTTTTTTCTTTTCTATTTTAAGCTATAAGTGAGACTGAGCCAAGTAGGCTATATTTGTCCTTACCCATCTTGTGTGTATGTTGACACTATTTGTGTGTTGACAGCCCTTCATGAGGCTGTATTTTGTTTGGTTTATCCTCCATAACATTCTTGGATAATGAGTTTCCAGTGTCTCGGTGCTTATTGTCAGGAAATTCTTCTCTAATGGCCAGTCTAAGTTCTTTCCTTTCCTCAAGCTCTCGCTTTCTTAGAGCTCATCATTACATGCAGATCACCCCTTTGTATCTGAAAGATTTAACTCTTCCTTCCGTTCTATTTCTTCCTTTCTTGCTTTACTCTCTGAAGTGGGTAGGCCTGGAGAGTTGCTGAAAGGGGCAGGGGCATGAAGCTTAATACCCTCAGCTGCATTCACCCATTAGGAAAGAGAACTTTAGATCCTAGATACACAAGGCATCTGCAGGGTCATTTAGTGCAGTGTCCTGATGTTCTGCCTGGAAAGAATATTGGTTTTTGAAGTCATAACGATCCTGGATTCAAATCTGCTCTGTCACTTACTGACTGGAAACATGGACAAGTTACATAATCTTCTGTTCCTGTCTATAGGGATAAGAGTGTTTTTGTTTTCTTTTTAATTCCTCCTCATCACTGACTGTGAGACTAAGAAAACATGTACAGAATACTTTGGGCATAATTGCCTGACTACATGATATCCAGTGTCATTGTAATGACTAGTTTTACTAGTCCTACCTAATCCTCTATGAATTATGATATTTTGAATTATGAGGGTCAAATATATTGCTTTGTGTAAAGTATAACTTTAACCCTTATTCAAGATTGAGAACCTAATAGATGTTCTCTTTTATTAAATGTCATACTTTTTTTTTTTTTTTTTTAAGAAAAAACCTTCCATTAGGACATTTTCTGTTTTAAATAGCACTGCGCATCTCATTGCTGCTTATGGTCTGTCCCGAGCTCTCATCTTTCTGCTCTGTTTAATCACCTTGTCACATCTGGCTTATGGGAGCCTGTTGGAAGGTTATTGTTGATTAATATATATCTGTTTATTTCAGTTTCAAATGAAGAATGATTATTTATGGGCATGTTTTTGTACTCAGTTTCTTTTTTTTTGGTAACTTATATCAAGAACAAGAGTGATTCCTGAGATTATAGAAGTATGTGTGTGTGTGTATTTGTTACACAAAAAAAAGTCTCACAGAATAATTTTATAATTATTTACTGTAATCACTCTATGTTAGGAATCATACTATAAAAACGCCTTGTATGCTTTGCTTGTTCACCCCTACCTCTAATCCTCTCAACAGTGAGTTGGTACTGGTATCAATGTTTTATCCAGGAGGAAATTGAGGCTCAGGGAAGCTTAGTAATCAGCTATTACATAATGTGGCAGACCTAAATATAGGACTCGGATGAGCACTCAACTGCTGTTTTAACTGTCTTGGGCACTGCACTTAACCTTTTTTCCTCTGTCTCAATATTTTTATAAACTCACTCTGCACATCTATTGTAAAGGTACCACGCTAAGTAATTATAGAGTAAAAAAAATGAAAGCTCTGTAAATGCAAGTTTTAACACTGACAGTGTTTCTCCCATTAGAGAAAGACATTTCATTTAAATGAATGAAATAAAAGAATCATTATGTTGATTCGTACTCCGATGCCCTTCTTCATTCTCCCTGACTGTGTTAAGGGGGTTTTAATAACATCTGATACTTCATTTCTTGTTCACTGATAAAGCTGTGCCATAAAATTTTGAAATATTGCAGGTGGTAAAAAAATTACAATGAAACCCCAAAGCGAATCAAGGTTAGATGGATTTCAGTGAAGAAATTGTCCTTCTAGACTGATTTGAAGTTCCAGTCACAGCCCATTTAAACAGATTCATTCTGTTATTTACAGAGCATATACATCACAGTCACTTTGCTGTGTTAACTAGCTAGAAATTTTAGCTGGAGAATGTACCCAGGAGATAACAGCTTTTTTCTGGTACCCCAAATCAGAAAAGAGCACTTTCTTCTGCAGCCCGGAAATACCTAGACCAGTCAGGGAAGATTGGAGTGTGATCCTCTTTTCAAAGGAATAATGGAGGAATAAAAAGTAGGAGAGTTTAAACACCAGTGTCTAACTTCCGATACCAACGATTAAAGTCTCAGGAACATCTCTGGCTGACTCTTCACCGTGGAAATGAGCAGCTCCCCACAGCCTGCACTGCCCTGCCCTGCCCGCCTCTGTCCTACATAATCCTCCTCTCGCTCCCCCCCCCCCCATTGTCAGTTGGGCGTCGTGAAACAACCTTGTCAGAAAGTAGAAGCTACTTGAGATTTTTCTCAAAAACGTTGGGAGTCTTCTATTCACAAGTTGCCGATCATGCTCAATTGAACATCATAGCTTATTGGTTGTGGAGTTTATAAATCGTGAAAGCATACTTGATATTTTGATGGTAGACAGTAGGTTCCCATGATCTGTATCTTAAACGCAGAAGAATATGATCAGCTTTGGCCAGTATTTTTATACTATTAGCTTTATTTTGTGATAATGGAATCTCAGTATTAAGATACTTTCTAAATGATTTTTTTGTTATGTATTCAAGACACTAATCCTTTGTCAGTTTATGTGTAACATTTTTTTCCAACTTGTGGCTTACTATTTTCTCTCAGGGATCATTTCATGGATTAAAATACTCTTAATATTCATGAATTCCAGTTTATCGATTTTTTAAAATTTTTTATTTAACCGCATTTTATTTAAGAAATACTTATCTATTCTGAGATCATAAAAATATTCTATATTTTTTCTAAATCTTTTAAAATTACCTTTAGTATATAAGGCCTTAATCTATATTTAAGAAACTGATTTTTGTTTATGTTGTGAGGAGGAGATCAAATTTAATACTTTAGAACTATCTATAACTAGTTTTGTGAGTACTAGTTGGTGAGTAGACCACCTTCCGCCCTTTGATCTGCAGAGCCACTTCTGGCTACGTTTAAGGTCCTGTATGTGAGGGCATATTTCTAAGGCTTTCAGTTTATTCTGCCAGTCTTACTGTCTCAGTACTAAATTACACTGTGTTAATTACTATAGCTTGACAGTAAGTCTTGGTATCTGATAGGACAATTCTCTTCACCATCTTTTTATTGAATTCAATTTTGGGACAATTAACATTTAAAATATTGAGTCTCCTCGTCCATGAAAATGATATATGCCTCCATTTCTAATGTCTTTAGTGTCTGTCAGTAGAGTTTTATAATAGTGAGAGAGATAATAATGTGCAAATAATGACAGTTTTGTTGTTTCTATTCCAATCTTTGCCACATTTATTTCTTTGTGTTGCTTTATAATGTTGGGCTCTGCAGTACAGTATAGAATGAAATTAATAGTAGCAGACATTCTTGTCTTTTTCCTGATTTTAAAAAGAATGCTTTTAGTATTTCTGGGAAGTAGCCTCATACCAGGTTAGAGAAGTTCCTTTTATTTCTACTTTCTTCAATCTTAAAAAAATCATGACTATGTGTTGTATTTTATTGAATGCTCTGTGTATAACGTAAGATGACCATGTTTTTCTCTTTTTAATCACTTAGTAAGGTGAAAAATCTACATTTTATCCTTCTAGTCCTGCAATAATGTATTATTACCATATCAATATATGCTTGATTTCTGATATTTTTTATATTTTATTGATTATGCCATTACAGTTGTCCCATTTCCCCCTTCATTCCCCTCCACCCCGCACACCCCTCCCCCAGCATTCCCCCGCTTTAGTTGATGTCCATGTGTCATAAAGTTCTTTAGCTTCTGCATTTCCCACACTATTCTTGCCCTTCCCCCTATTTTTTACCTACC